CTACACTTTTTTTCAAATCAAAATAGTGCAAAAGCACATGTCGAAAAAACACTTTATCGCGTTCCATTTTTCACAAAGCAAAAGAAATTGTTGTTTAGGAAAATAATTGTGTATGCTGACTGAATGTTATCGAGAAATGTCGAAATTAATCACAAACTACCTGTTTCGTTAGTAATGACTACTAGAACTGTTTTCATTTCCATCTAACATTTGCGGGCGGAAACTAAGTTAAGGTCCTAATATATCTAAACCTTTCTGCTTCAATTTTACTGTTCCTTGACGCAATGTTAAGCCAGGATTCCGCGAAAATAAGTTCACTATCATTTTATTGGCTTTAGGGGACACTTTGCCTATCGAGCCACATTCAGGCAAGCCATCGATAGTTTTCATCTCTTTGTATGGTTGAACTCACTTACTCACGAATGATTTCAACTTCCCCACGTATTTAACAGCCGCTGCATGAGACATTTTCAGACCTTTTGGGTGGGAACAGAGAAATACAGCCTCGTAGCGCAACGCGTACGCGGCACTCATGGTGTTTTACGTGTTTATCTGATAAAACTTCAATGTCAACTGAATTTTTCTTGACAAATACATGAAGAGCAAAAGTTCCCTCTATCCACTCACGAAAGAATTAGGACGATACCTTTTACCGACTACTAGTTATACCGCACACACTCTTACTTGACAGACTGTAAATATAAAAAAGTTCAAAGAAAAGTTTAAAACACTTTCTGTTATTTTCCAAAAATGTTTTTGCATTATGAAAATAAAAGTATTTTGTGCGATACTTTTGCAGTTTGTAATAAAACATTGTAAAAAATAAATTATTTAAAATTATTAAAAATTTGAAAAAAACTTACATAATGGAGATACAAATAAATATATCTTGTTTACATATGAGCTATTCAACAATTATTATATAATAAATATGTAATAAAAATTATTTGGCTCAAAACTTTTGTACACACGCGCATGCGCGCGCGCACACACACACACACATATACACGCATACAGATGCACGCATGCCCACTATACAGGGTGTTCGAAAAGTACCGGGACGCCCGAATATCAGGAAAAATATAAGTTTTACAAAAAAATGTTTCAGACAAAAGTTGTGGCGTTTAAAAAGATGTATTTACTGATCACATCAGTTTGACCTTGGGTTGCGTAGCGAAGGTCAGGTCAAGGTCACATTAATTTTTTTAAATG